AAAACAAAGGTGAAAGAAGAATACAGGACAGGAAAATGGGGTAAAATGAAGCCTAAAAAAATAAGGAGCTTCAAAAACTTCAGAAACAAGACTAATGTTGATGTTTATCTCCAATTATTCTTTAACTTGCACAAATGATACTATCACATCACCCATTCATTACACTCCAATATGACATAAAAATCAGTTTCTACAACCACATTCCAGAACACAATATAGAACAGGAGCTCAATAAATGTTTATTGAGCTGGATAAGTCAAAATGTGAACTACCTCATGAAAATAAATGGCCTTAATTTAATGCGAGGGCAAAGGACAGTAATCAAAGTGCCACATAACCCAAGCCACTATACAGCAGAACAGCAGTACTGCTGCAACTCCAAGAAGATGTGACTAGGTTTTCGCTTTCAATAAATATACCACTGACAAGAAAACAATTAAAAATGCATCCCAGGAGGGCTCAATTCCTGTCATGTACTTCACTATACAAATAGAGGACAGACTCTTTTACGCAGACCTATAAAAGCTTGTCAAAAAAATTCCAGTACGTTTTAGGATATTATCTTCTGCAACGTAATCAATGAAGCAATGTATACAAAGACAGCCAGGGGTCCTTCAGAGATTTAAGTTCATGGTCTGGGCAGTTCTCAGCTGCCCAGAACAAATGTTAAAGGTGGAGACAAGGCAGTGCCTTTAGGCCACAGCAGTTCCTTTAACCATTAGCGATAATAACAGCTGCTCCAAAGTCCGATCTTCTGGAATGCAGGAGTACTGTCAGCTGCAACAGGCAAAGAGTTTAGGGTTAAAGCAGAAACCAAAAGAGACAGTTTGTACCTCACATGATAACCACAGGACAAACTACCCAATGTTTCACCTTTGAACTGCAATGATTTTCAACAGCTCACGAAAAGCACCCAAGTATAAGCTGTTGCTTGCCTTGGGCAAGAGATTACGAGCGTGGTTCACTCGCAGTATTTGTAGCCACCAATTCTGCATTCTTACAGTGCTGACCACTGGGGCACTCAGAGTGTAAACCACGAATGATGGTTCCACAACACTACCACAGAACATACACTCCAAAGAAGACCATCACCACACATGTCCTGGTGCCCAGCACCTTCTTGGAAACTAAAAGGCAGCCTCAGGAAGTAGTTTGGTTATTCTCCGAATCGGGAAGACTCTGAAACACAAAGGTCAGGTAAGCACTCAAGATGACCCCCAACAGTAAGGGCTAGAGCTAAGGCTTGAACACAGGCTCTGGTCACCAAGCCTATGTCTCCACAACTGTAAAGTATGGAACAGCTTCCCTGACAAACAACGGGAACACTTCAAGGCTCTGAAGCACCGCAGGCTCTTTGCCACCTTAACTGCAACCCCTCAGAGAGAACAAGGCCAGAGCCACACAGCTCTGTACATAACGCTTAGCAATCCACCACACAGGACGGAGGTCCCCCAGGGCAGTGATATGCTGACACTGCTCCAAAGCAATTTGTCAGGTGTTAGGTATAAGGAAGTTAGGACAAAGAGCCTACTAACCATGAAAGACAAAAGTCTAAAGATAAGCATATAAAACAAACCAAGTATCCATCAACTGATGACTAGATAAACAAAATGTGGTCCATCCATACAATGGATTATTCTGCCATAAAAAAGGAATGAAGTAATGATGTTTACTACAACTTGTTGAACCTTGAAAACATGCTAAGTGAAAGAAGCCAGACACAAAGAGACCACCACCTACTAGATGATTCTATTCATATGAAATGTCCAGAATAGGCAAATCTATAGAGACAGAAAGTAGATTAGTCGTTGTCAGGGGCTGGGAGGAGAGGAAATGGGGAATAACTGTTAACTAGGTACAGGGCTTCTTTTTGGGATGATAAAAAAAATGTTCTGAAATTAGATAGTGGTGATGGCTGCACAACTTCATAAATATACTAAAAAACACTGAATTGTACACTTATAAAGAGTGAATTTTATGCGATGTGAATTTTATCTCAATAAAGATGTTACTGAACAATAAGCATATACCACAGATCATAGCACATTACCATTTACACAAAGAAAAAACTACACAGAACAAATTTACACTATTTCCAAAACTACAGCTTCATATTTAAATAAAGACAGAGGTAAGTCCTTACGTCCAAACCCAACTGTCAGAACTAATTAGTATCCTGGAACATCTTGTCCTAAGAACAGCAAGTCTACAGTACTGTCAGCTACTAAGCTGAGTAAAAGCACTTCAGTCTCCCATGAGTGTTACTGCTACAAATACTTCCCTTTCTGAAAACAAAAAAAAAAAGTCTCTTTTACACTCCCTCAGACTTTCAAACTTCTTCTAGAACTCCTCAGACCAATAAGAATTTTAATAAAGACAGTGAAGTTTAAAAGAAGCAACTGCAAAAAATGCCTATCAGAAAATACAGTTAATGGAAATAAAACGTCAATCAGAATCTTATCTATAGAAGACAAACACAAGAGATTAAAACAAAATACAAGGGGTTTGCAAAAGAAATGCAAGCAGAGGTTTAAGGGGGCTGCTTCTTCATTTACATTCATTACATTGAGAGAAACTTAGAAAGCAAAATGCCTAAATACTAGATTTCACTCAAGCTGTCTATTCCAGGCAAAGGGTTTATCAATGCCAGGCCTCTGTTTAAAACAACAAAGGAACAGAAAGTTAATTGAATGCGAATAAAATCAGTGTAGCAGAGACATAGGGAAAACTCAACACCGGAGTTGTTCTGAAATATGTATGCAATGGCCTCACGGTTACTCATTTTAATTCTCGTTATTAACAGTCATTTGGAATTATCCAAATTTCCAAGGATGAACAAAAATAATTGTTAGATCCAAACAACTATTCAAAAAATCAATCTAGAAAACATACACACTTTCCGGCCAAGATATAAACATTTCACTTCATAAAAATGTGCCTGGCTTTACATTAGCGCTTCTCTATAAAAATCAACAACAACAAAAATCAAAAGAGGACATGGAGGAGAAGGAAGCACTTACTGAACACCTGCTGGACATTTTACATATATTAATTCATTTAATCCTCAGAAGAATCTATGGGGGTGGGGGGGTAATACGTCTCTCTATTGCAACAGGGAAACGGAGACTGAGTGGCTGGCGAACCCGGCCAAGGTTACACAGCTGTAAAGGCAGCCCTAGGACCTGGAGAGACAGATTAGCTGTTCATGAAGGGCTATTTTGCTGAACAGAAGACTCTCCTATAGAAGATACTTTTGTTCCAGATTTAGCTAGGGGCCCCAACAACATAATAATCACCACTTTCTGCTTTTACAAAGGAACATATCTGCACACACAAAAGAATCTCCCTAGAGCGAAGATCTAACCATAGTAATAGCCACAGAAATGATTAGCGCATGGCATTTAAACCTAAGACTGACAGCACATGAAACTGATCCTAAAGGGCTGAAATTTCATGAACCAGTTATGATTCACTGGCATCTCCAAGCCTACTCAGCTTCACAGACAACTACACTTTCTAGGACCCTGATATTCATTTGTTTATAGCTGGAAAAACCTTTTTCTACTCAGTACACACCGGGAATTTAAGGTGTGAATTAAACACTTAATCAAAAGAAAACCATAATCCTCAGGTAAATTTCACCAAAAAAAAGGGCAGACATCAATAAAAACCACTGCATACTCCACAACCACTTCTCAGACGAAGACATTTTTAAAAGCCACGATGCAATGCCGACAGACAGCTTTAAAAAAAAAAAGAAAGAAAGAAAGCACCAGAAAACCAGAGGGTTTTCTCAGTTACTTCATCAAAGCAAGGTCATATCAAACGTTTAACTTCAAATACAGACTTAAAAGCCAAGAGCTTAAAAACACTGCAGAGAGGCACTCGGAACAACAGGTCTAGGATGCTACCTTACTTACCAAGAAAATCAGTTTGCAATTGAAACCTATACACTACATTCTGTCAAAGAGAAAGCTTTTATTTGGAGAATTTAGGTGCAAAATTTTGGCACCAGGGGGCTGGTGAAAATAAGTTTAAGCCCCAAACACCTAGAAGTTCCATTGTTCTGAAACATGTATACAAAAGTTCACGTTTCTACACTGATGAGTACGATGCTCTTCCTGTTTAATTTGGAGACAGACAATGGTTAACCTAACCTAACGTTTCTTAGGAGACACACATGTAAAGACATGAAAAGGCACCATCAGGCACCCTCAACTCAAAGTCAGCCTAAGGCTTGTTTCTACACAGGAAGGCTGGGCACCGATCAATAAATGTTTCGCATGCATACGTATGTATATACAGGTCTTTTCTATTACAGCTTTCAACAACAGCCAGAATCCCTTAAACCATAATACACACACACACACACACACACACACACGCACGCACGCACGCACGCACACACACACACCGGCTTAGCTCTACCTCCCGAGCTACTACCACTGCTACATCCAATAGGCGATCGGAAACAGGATCTTCAGCGGCTCTAACAACGGCAGAGGCGGGCGTATCTAAGGTTCTAGCGCCTTCCAATCTCAACCTCACCAGCGGCTTTGGCACCAGCCGCCAGTTCCTTCCTTTTCTGGTAATCAACGCCAGATTCGGAAAAACGAAGACGAGACACAATGTGTAACTGTTATCTTCCACCCAAGAGCCCGATAAGGGGACAAAGGCCTTATCGCTTTTCCAGACGACAAGCTAAAGCGAAAGGCAACAAAGAGGCCGCGAACTCAGGGAAAGGGAGATGTAGGCCTTTCGGCGGCGACGGAGCCGAAAGTCCTTACGATTTTCTCCCGCCGAATCTCAAAGCCTCCCTCTACAGGCTCCCTGGTGTCCTCCTCCCCGCCTGGAGTCCCGTCCTCCCGGATCCTCCTTCCCGCCTGGGGTCCTTCTCCTTTCCTGGGGACCATCTCTCCGCCAGGGGGTCCGCCTCCCTGCCCAGGGGTCAATCTCCCCGCCTGGGGTCCCTCCTCCCGCCAGGGCCCCGCGAGGCGCACCTTGTGGCAGGCCGGGCAGGTGGGCCCGGGTGCGCCCTTGCCCCCGCCGTGGCCGCCGCCGTGGCCGCTGCTCAGGCTGCTCTGGATCTGCGTGAGCTCCTGGCGCAGCACCTGCTTCTGGTGGAAGCTGAAGGCCGGGTGGTTGGAGGCCATGGTGAAAAGCAGCAGGAACTCATCGCCTGTGCGGCCCTCGTTGAGCTGCAGCCCGTAGTTGTGGATGACCGAGTCGATGTGCGTGAGCGTGCGGTACAGCACTCCTGCCGCCTCGCGCTGCTCTGAGCCCAGCAGCGCCAGCGACACGAGCAGCTTGCTGCGCACCACCTCGTCGGTCAGGTTGGTGAGGCTGCCCAGGTCGGCCGGGTTGTTGGCCTTGATCTCCGAGTCGCGCAGCGAATGGTAGTCCTTGCGCGCCAGGTCCTCAAGACACGAGCCCAAAAAGCGCAGCTCGAGCGGGATGCACAGGTCCAGCAGGCCGCAGAGGAACTCCACGCGCTGCGGCGACGGCAGCTCCGAGAACCAGCGGTACACGCCGTCCCTCTGCAGCGGGCACCGCTTCTCCACCATGCTGCCGCCCGCTCCGCGACGCCTGCCCGGGGTCGGCCGCGCCGGGGGC